GCAGAGACACCCCTCACCCAGTCTCCAAAACCCGGTGCATCCTCAGTACAGACCTCCTCAAGATGGTATTTGCAGCCAGGATGGGTTGGGACAAAACTGGGCTGGCCGGTGGGGTTGCTGGAACCCTCCATTCACAGGGGAGATCCTAATTCTGCCCCAGCTGTGTTCCCAGCTTGCCATGGAGAAGCAGTGTGCGCTTCGGGTCCTACACGTTGCCATGTGCTATCTAGCACCATTTACCTAGCAGCACACTGAAGCTCCTCACAGCCTTGTCTGGTCTTGGCTAGCGCCGAGAGGCTGCACTAGTCAGCATGTGCGTAGCCGAATAGATGGAGCTACACTGCTCCTGGCTTGGGAAGCAGTTGGTGTGATGTATGAGGACACCACTGCCTGGCACCATGAGTGTACAATGTAGACGTGTCCCTTGTGCCCTCTGCCAGTTCTGCCCCCTCACCTCTTATCCACTCTCCCCAGTCCCCCATAGATGCACTGGCTCTGCCTCTCTCCTCGGCAGACCATGATTTTGAACTTCGATGATCAAGGAATAAATGTTCATCAGTTCCTTGTTCCTCAGTCATTTATGCCCCACAGCATCTCTTTGCCCCTTGCTCCAGGGCCCTCTGGCTCCTCTGATAGCTGCTTAGAAGGCACCGCAGCAAAGGCTTTTCCTTGGGCTTCCCCAGATTAAACCTGTCTGTTCTCTGTCCCTGCCTGCTGCAGCGCAGAGAGGTACGATCCCCTGACGGGCACCTGGACATCAATTGCTGCCATGAGCACAAGGAGGAGATATGTTCGGGTGGCGACATTAGGTAGGTCACTTTTGCAAGGGAACCTCTTTCCCCTCTGGGAAGCCTGGTTGCATGGTTAAAGCATTAGGCTTGGTCTTGGGAGATAGGGGTCCAAGTGGCAGCTCTTCCACAAACTCCCTGTATGACCTTGTCCAAGTCACTTACTCTCCCCTGAGCTCCACTGTGCTGTGGCAGGAAGTCATTAACTTTATCAGTCTTTCTAAAGACACCGTCTCTGTTGGCCTTGCAAGTTCAAACTGTTCCCTCTTGAGGCTTCCAGCTCACTCTTGTTGTAGGGCTGCTGGTTCCCAATTCCCTCAAGCCAGGGAGCTCTGGAAGCCCCCCTGCAGCTGCCATCCAGCCTCACCTCCCAGGCTTTTCTTGCCTGAATCCCTGTACTCTGCCCTTTCCTTCTGGGAGCAGACCTCTCCCCACCCAGCCCATCTAGTTTCCATCCAGGGAGTCCCCGACTGATTGTTGCCTGGGCAGCTCTCCCTGCAGGCTGTCTTGCCTTGCTCTCTTCCCCAGACTGCTCTAACAGCTCTTCCATGTGCTGGGCAACACACTCAAGGATACAAGCAGCAATTCCCCTCCCTCCTGCCTTTCTCCTCTGGCTTTAGCCCTCCATGCAGATGCCCCATGCTAACTGGGAAGCTCCTTTGCCTTCACCCACCCTGTGCTCTCAGCCTGGTGCTGCCTTTTAGCTCTCTCCCCTTCAGTGCCCTGCTTCTCCTGCCTCATCTGCTAAAACTATAGCTGAAGAGAGGCCATGGGGAGCATCCCCAGTGCCTGTCACAATGAGGGCAGGGGACTGCAGGGCACGCGAGCTCCCGGGCGGCTCTCTCGGCTCAGTAGAGACGTTGCCTGATGAATGTTTAATGACGCGCCGCACCAGCTGAGGTCTCTGCGTCGTGAGCTGCTCCGTGAGCTAATCCTCCCCGGAGGGCTTTGCCCCATGGTGCGGGTTTGTGCATTGGTTGCTCTGCCGCGGCCCTGCCTGTCCTGCCTGGATGCTTTGCTGGCCTGGAGGGAGCCGTGGGCGGAGGTCTGGAACGTGGGCCTGGCAGAGGGTGACTCTGTGCGTGACTCTTTTTGCAGATGGCAATCTCTACGCTGTCGGGGGCTACGACAGCTCGGCCCACTTGGCAACGGTGGAAAAGTACGAGCCTCAGGTAAACGAGAGAGAGAGCGTGCCTGTGTGGATGCATGGTTTGCCCGTTCCTCTCCCTCGCTCCTCCAGACAGGACTTGTCGAAAAGGCTTGTAGGAAGCTGAATGCAAAAACCACAATGAGGAATGATCAAAATGACTAAAACCCTGTGGAACCTAAGTGCCCAAGGTCCTTTCAATGGGGTTTCTAAGCCAGCTGAGGCATCTATTGCCCTGTTGAGGAGCAATTTAAACAAATATATGTCAAGATTGTGTCCTGGATCTGTGTTTAATTTCTGTATGTTTCTGCTATAGGCAGAGAGATCTCCTAGCAAGGGCAGCTGTGATACGATGCCCCTCTCCACTTATTTTGATGGCTGCATGCTGGCGATCCCAAGAAAACAGCTCTAGTGGCTAGTACAAAGCGGGTCAGAGACAAGGCTCTGAATGGAAAGCCTCCCAGAGCCTTTGAGGGGCAGGCTGCAGTGTTGCCTCCATACTGCAGATCTAGAAATACATGCATGGCCAAACTGGACATGTTTATATGTGCAGTTAATCTGACCGAATATACTCCAGCTCAGTTTGGGCCAAAGTAAATGAATCCCGACATCACTGTCTACATGTATATTTAAGCACAGTAATTTACTGTGGTGTAGCATAGTACCTGTGTCTGACAGGACTATCCTACACTGGAGTAAGTGAATGTACTGCACACTAATTGTGGCACACATGTAGCCGGTGGCACTTTACTGCGCATTAAGTTAGTCCAGTGCTCAGTAAAGCGCACCTGTAGACGCACCCACAGGGACATGGAAACCATCGACAGGTCTATTGTTCATGGTCGCAGCACCCAGAACCTGCCAGCAGAGGGTGCATCCGAGGTGTGAACGCTGCCTCTTCTCACCTTGTTTACTTTAAATATATATATATATATTTAATTAAACCAGTTTTGGTGCCATAAGAAAATGAGAGGCTCTGAGCGCAGGTTTGGTGGGTCGTGTGATGGGAAAGAAGAAACACCCAGACGAGAGTTAACGAAGGAGGAGTAATTGCTGCTTCAAGTGGTCTCAGGGTGGCGCTGAACTGGACACAAAGCTAATTGCAATATTAGCCCCCTGCAACTCCCTCTCTTGTCCCGAGCGCCTCTGCATCCCCAAGAAAGCCTCTTTCTACAGCCACTGCCACCTTCCCCCTTTAGCTGTGAAAAGCAGGCAGGAGGTTGTGAGCTGTTTTGATCTCTGTTGCAATCCAGTTTGTGTGTTCAGGACCAGGCCTGAGCTGCCAGCCAGCATGAAGGAATTGAGATCCCATCAGTCTAATTAGCACCCCTGAGGCACCTGAACTTGCTTTGGCTGCCCAGGACCCTATCTCCTCCGAGACCCCTGCTGCAGGTGGATGATGGGTCTTGCAGGGATGGGTCTTGGACAGCTGGTGTGTGGCGTGCTCTGGGTGTGGAGCAGGCACGACACAATCTGCGACGAGGCTGTGGTGCTGCCCCTGAATGGCTGGGGTGGGTGGATAACTTGTTGGCAGGAGTGCCTGGTATGCCTTCACAGGCACTACCCCTCCCTCCCCTAGATCAACACATGGACCCCGATCGCCAACATGTTGAGTCGCCGGAGCAGCGCGGGTGTGGCTGTGCTTGAGGGGATGCTCTATGTGGCCGGCGGCAATGACGGGACCAGCTGCCTTAACTCGGTGGAGCGCTACAACCCGAAGACCAACACCTGGGAGAGCGTGGCGCCCATGAACATCCGGAGGTAGGAAACCACCATTGGATTTGGTGCGGGCTGGGGTGCCAGTAGCTGCTCACTCAGGCTGTTTATTGGTTGGCTGCCAGGACCAGGGGTGCACAGCCCCCAAGAAGGGTCCTTATGGCTTGGCTTTGCAAGATGCATGGCCCACTGGAGCACTTTACTTTCCAGCTGGTGCTGTGCAGCAGGAACATGCCTAGCTTTGCCAGTGGAGCAGGCAGGCAGCTGGGGCTACAGCTAGCAGCCACTGAGCAGTTGTATGGTGGTGGTGGGAGGTGACAGCGACCCCCTGGGAGAGGCGTGCAGGTGTTCTGCAGCCCAGGTAATCCTAGGCTGGCATCGGTGCCTCCTGAGCTCCCCCAGGGCAAGGGTGTTCCAGGAGCCCTGCTGTTTCTAACAACATACTGGGGTGAAGGAACAGCTCCGCATGCTAAATACCAGCTATAGGGACCTAGTTTAGGTTCATGACTTCAGTTATTTGAAAGGAGCATCAAACAGTGCTTGGCACAACGGACCGGGAGCTGAGACACCCAGGTTCTAGTCCCAGCTCTGCCACTGAATCAGCATATGACCCCGGGCAAATCACATAGCCTGAGTGCCTGAGTAGGGGAGCAGTCCTGGGCATCACCCTCAGGGACTAGGCCAGGGTAGGGAAACACCCGCTTTGTTAATGCGGTCTCTGTGCTGTCATCCACAGAAGCACCCACGACCTGGTGGCCATGGACGGGTGGCTCTACGCGGTGGGGGGGAATGACGGCAGCTCCAGCCTCAACTCCATCGAGAAGTACAACCCCCGCACCAACAAGTGGGTGGCAGCTTCGTGCATGTTCACGCGCCGCAGCAGCGTGGGTGTGGCGGTGCTGGAACTGCTCAACTTCCCGCCTCCCTCCTCGCCGACGCTCTCCGTGTCCTCGACGAGCCTTTGACAAAGAGTCCGGTCGGACCTTACCTCAAGGGGCCTGGAGCGCCTGGCGGAGCGCCAGGCCAGCCTGGCCTGACCCATGCAGCAGTCAGTCCCTGTAGAAGGGAGCCAGGGCGCCGGCTGCTGCCTCCCACCCCAGCCATTCCCTGAGCCCCTCAGGGACTCTCCCTCTCTTGGTGCACGCCCAGGGGGCTCAGAGGAAGGTGAGAACTGCACTTCCCAAGCGAGGCTCCTCTCTCCCCGTGTCTGTGGGCGGGGAAGGGGGATGCCCTCGGCTCCGTCCACACCCCTGCTCCACCGCTCCACCGATCCTTCTCCTTTTGTTTCCTTTATGGGCTGGCCCAGCCCCTTGAAACCATTGCTGCTTTTAGGGCTTCACGTGACCCGATGTGCTGCACGCTGGCACAGCCATGCTGGGGAGGAGCCAGGAACGCTTGAGGCCGGGGGGACGCGGGGCACCGCTGACGCACACGGCACTCCCCCGGGAAACAGCAGGATGTCCCCCCGCGCCTCTGAATGCCACCTTAGCCACACACTCCTCAACCAAGCCCGTAGCGCACTGTTACAGACTCGGAGACCACCGTACGTCTCGCAATGGTGTCTAATCGATGCCTTAAAAAACCCCAGCTGGGGTGACAGGGCGGGGAGGAAGCGAGGTCTGGGCAGCGCATCCTGAACCCCTCTGCGTTTCTACCCTTTGCTGACCCCTGCCCCACACACTAGATCCCAGGGTGCCCATGCTGAGATGCCTCAGCCAGCTGGATGGATGGAAGAAGTTCAACACCATTGGAGCCGAGACACCCCACGGTGACTACAGACCATCCTTAGCCTCTTGGTTGGGAACAGCCCCATCCATGTGCTATTTCCCGGTCTGCCAAGAAGGTCCCAGAATTGCAGCAGGACTTGGTTACTTAACAATAACACTGTGGCCCTGGACGGCAGGGCAGGGCTGGGGGGAGCGGGGTGCTGCACGGCACTATTTATTTCATGTTTGCCTTTTTATTTGGATGCTAATCTTTTGATTTTAATTATCCATTCGTTTATTTTTTTTAAAGCGATTCTGGTGTTCTCTGCCCCAGCCGCGTCTCCGCCATTGGAGGCACCAGGGGATGTGGGGAGTAAACCAGAAGGGCATTTTCTTTAATTGTCAATGAGACAATGATCATGGCTTGGAAGGAACTCTCTTTAGAGGTGTGTGCGCGTGCATGTGTGTGGGGCTACGTGTTCAGTGAAACCAGCATGGACGGGACCACTTGCCAGTAGCAACTCCCTGGAGTCTTAAGCTACCACTTTAGTTAACTAAAAGTTGAACCAATCTACACTGTAAACCACAGGTTGGTCCTCGTGGACTCACCTGTACCAGGGAACCTCGCGGGTGGTGGCTTAAGATCTGCTTTCACTGCATGGGCTGTAATTCGAGTGTGCACCTGTGCGCATGTGTGATTTGCCCTGAGACAAATTTATCAGGTGTTCTCCACGGTATCGAGGAACGGCTCAACCACTGGTACCTCAGCAGCACCGGACGGCTGCTCTGTGATTATGGCGTAGCTAAAGACTGTTTCATTCTCCGTTTCTTTTTCTTTCCTCACCTGAATCCCTTCTTCCCCACATTGTTTTAACTTATGGCAATACTTACTAGCCTGGATTTTCAGAAGGGACTAGGCATTTCTTTGCTTTTGGAGTTTTTAATTTGAGACAATTTTTAAAGGGGCATGCTTTCTCATGGGGAGCGCATTCGGTATGTGATACAAGCTCATTGATGGTGCCTGAAGTTTGGCACCTCAAATCACTAGCTGCTTTGTAAAACTGAGACCACTGTCCCAAAAATGTGGCCTAGGCTGCTTGGCCTGAAGGAGATTTTAGGCTTTTAAACTGCATTTTGAAGATCTCTGTTTTTCAGTTCCCTTTTTTAATTTTGCAAGTCTGAAGCCTTCACATGGACTTTCCCATTCCTGCATATGACACCGTTTTGATGTCCAAACGCTGATCACAAGGTGAAGTTACCTCTCTCTTAATGCGGCAATAGTGTTGACTCATTACACAGTCAGCATTTTGGGTTAAGTCGGTCACCCTGTCTTGTCCAAAATTGTGGTAGTATCTTCTGTTTCCTCCCCACTTCTCTAAGGGGGACATGAGTGTGTGTGCATGTGTGTGTGCATGTATGCGAGAGAGTACTAGAGAGATATTATCTTGCTCCCTTTCCCGCTCTTTTTCTCGCCGTACCCATGAGCCACATCAGGATCCCAGGTTTCAAGCCAATTCGTGACAACCTGCACCTCTGCCTCTAGGATCCTCTTTAGAGGAGGCACAGGAGAATCCTAGAGGACCCCCCAAAGCACCTGCCTTAAAGCTTTCTGGGCATTTTGGAGGCTAAAGGTGCCAGCTGCTGTGGCTTGGGAGAAGTCCTGGGATTTCAACTGTGTCCTATGGGTAAGGCAGAGAAAGTGAGGGCCCTGCAGGCCAGCTTCTCCTACCTGCCCTCCTCCCAACATAGGAGTGGGCTGGCATGAGGGGAAGAACCATGGAGGGTACAGGAAGGAGTTGCTGAGGGTGGGCAAAGGCCTTAGTTAAAACATAGGATGTTTGGGGTTTACAGCCACAGCTCAACCCCCTGAAGATGATGCCAGTGTTACTGTAGCATGAAGGGCACTGCTGGCAAATACTGTATTTATTTTAATGGGGAGGTGAGGGGATACACTGGCAGGGAAGCCATGGGGTGTCCTGTCCAGCCAAGGAAGGTGCTGTAGCTCTACCCCAAGTGCAGTGTGGAGCATCACAAGCAGTATGAATCCCTGGCAGGGGTGTCAGCAATTCTCCAACCATTGGGAGAGTGACTTTTATCAGTCACACAATCATTTTTTAGCCTACAGGATGGGGAGGATTTCTGCCAGTCAGGTCCCGAGCAAGAGTGCCCACTAGCCTGAGATAATTTGAGCCTCTTTTGTGAAGGAAAAGAAAAGAACATTTTACTGGGGGGATTTATTAACTATGCAGCCACTAACTGCTTTGCTATACTGGAACGGAGGGGGAATAGGGGGGATGCAGGGACTGCCTTAGCACTGCTGAAGTCCACAGAGCTAAGAGATTTCAACCCCGGGGATCCCATTCATACAAAGTGGAGGGGTTGGTCTCTGTGGTGCGGGGATGCCACAGATGCCAGGCAAATGCCAGCCCCCTAGGCAGAAGTGGTGGCCTTGGTATGTGTGTGTGTGCATGTGTGTGTGTGTGTATGGGAAGGGGAGCTGTCCACTCTTTGTCACTTCTTTACCAGTATTAATTGGTCTCTCACACCAAGCGTCACTCATACGCGACTGAGAGACGTTCCTAAACCGCCAGCTCCGTCCTGCGTGGCTGCCAGGTCTGCTGCCATGTTCCCCCCAGGGAGCTTGTCACCGTGTCAGAGTTTGTAGCAAGCTGGCCCCGTCCCGTCCTGGCAGAGCGATTCACGTGGCCGGGCGGACGGGCAGACCCCGGTTCATCCCCCGTCAAAATGTCGTCGTTTTTATTTATATGTAAGTTATCTCGACTTATTTATGTGGAGCTCTGTGTTTGTTTGTTTTCTGAATTTTGCACTACTCTCGGGAATGGGGGGATACAAGCAATACAAGCCAATGTGTAAAATAAAGACGTTTTCTTGAATACTGGATCCTGCCCTGTGAAACGCTTCTTTTTTTCCCTCTTCCCACATGCTTTAGGCAGTGGAGCTTTTCCCCAGGGAAGCACTGTCCTTTTGTTGGGGGGAACCAAGGGAGGAAGAAGAGAAGCCCATCCCTTGAGCCTTCAGGAAGGGGAAATGAGTTGTCTGGATTTGGAGGAGCTGGGGCCAGACCTGGGCATTTGCAGACTAGAGCATGCCACCCCCTGGCCCTGGCAGGCTGGAGTCCGGCCTGGATGGAAGGCAGCAGCCGTCATCAGGGATGGGGGTCTCTCAACCATGACTGCTCCTGGCTCATCCACACAAAAGCTGCAAAGGGGCTGTAAAGGGAACAACAGAGTTGGTCCCAGCCCAAGCCAGAAGATGCTCTCTCCCTTTTCCTCCAGCTCAGCCAGCACCGTGGTTGGCACAGGTCACACGAGCCAAGAACATGGCTTTGGGCATCAGCTGGGCACCTGGTGAGTTCATGGAGCAGCTGGACTCACTCAAGACAGTCTTTGCCCCTTTCCTCAGCTGGGGGCTATGTTTTCGACTGTCTCCACAGCTGGGTGGTTGGAGCCTGTGATTCAGTTGTTTGAAAGTGGCACCATGCCACGACCCAGCAGAGGGTGCTAGGCCACAAGCTGGTCCAGCTGCCAGCTGCTGGGGTGGGGAAACCAGAAACCAGCAGGGGAGAGGATGCTAGAGGTGCAGAAACACCTTGCAGGGCAATCTAAGTGCAAAGCAAACAGGGCTTCAAACAGACGCCAGCCGCTAATTTACAGCTCTCCCTGCCCTCTGCACTCTAGCCTAGGAGCCAGACGCCCCTGAGAGTCCTAGTCCTCAGTGCAGCTGACAGCTCTTGCCCCCCGGTTGGAAATGAAAACCAGACATGAAACATCCTCCTCTCGCCTAGGAGTGTCACATGCATCTTGCCCAAAGGCAGGCCTGGCCGGTTGGCTCGGTTCGGCAGCAGGGAAAGCGCGCAGGAGATCAGATCTACCTTCACCAGCTGCTGTCAGTCACCGTGGCCTGTGGGGAAATGCTGAGCTCATTTCAGAGGCGGAGAAGCAGGGGCTGGGGGGAAGGGGAATGAGAGCCCTCACTGCCTCTAGCAAGGGCTGAAGAGCTCCTCTCCACCTCTCCCGCTTGCACCAACTCTCCCCACCCCGCAGCAAGGCCCCACGGGTGTGGGCAGTTGCAGTGCTAGAGCAAGTTGCAATGGTAGCAGCGCTGTCCTTCTGAGGACTTCCTGCCCGCTCTGGTTTTGCTGTCCAAGCTCTCACTCTGGTCTTCATTGTCTATAAATAACCACTGGTTGCATAAAGCTTTCCAAAGCATGAAGCCCGTCTGCTGCCGCCCCTGTGAAGCCCTCCTGTCACTGGGACGAGAGTGAAAAGGGCTTTGGGGAACTGTTGTTTAGTCCAGCAAATTAGAGGTGTCTAAAACCAATGCATGCACGCTGTTTCCAATGTGGGGGTGCCTTGGAAACAAAGGTCCCCCAGAGTACAGCTGCATCTGTCTGCAGGATCTACAAGAACAGGGGGGATTTGTGTCATTCTCGTGGGCTGTCAGGATTTACTGAGAATAAGCGCAGGCTGCTGAACAGAGATGTGATCAAACTGCCACAATCGCTTAGCAGAAGAAGGGTGCTTTCCCCAGCTGCAATAATCAGCTGCTGCTGTTTGCAATAAGCAGTTGGATGAATGCAGCTGCA